AAGATCAGGTTATTAGTTACTCTGATTGCACTATTAATTGATTGCTAAGCTGAAATGCCATGGGCCATATCTTACTTATTCCCACAACTGTCAATGGGAGTTCCACTGATGGAATAAATAGAATTAAATAACCCAAGCCTCCCCCTCTGCTTCCCACGCATATCTCTTCCTCCTATTGTACCTACTTAATAGGCTAATGATATATGAGCAAAATAAGTGTATGTAACCCTGAAATTCTGGGTTGAAATTTGTGTTGAAAAAGCGTACTTTCTGTGGCACATTGTGTTAGAGCTTTTTTGTTTTGTTTATTAGCATTTTTAGATGTTGCTTAGCTTTAGGGAATTAAAAAATAAACCATGTACCTTGGTATACTAACATTTATTTAATTCAGCTAGGATATTGGAGTTCATGCCTCCCAGTTGAATGGGATTGATCTCAGTAGTGTTTTACTTTAAGGCTGTGTGGAACAGCTATGCAGCTTTAAAATAGAAAGTAAATGCTTGCCATCTCTGATCTTCAGTGTGGCTGATTTGGAGGATGAGGCTATGGATCTTGCAGTCACTCCAAATATTTTCTAAGCCAGAGGCTGTAGCCTTGTATTTGACAGCTATGGTCGCTTCTTATTTTGCTCATTAATTAATCAAATGGCATTTTTGAAGCTATGTAAAAGTTTACATATTGCAAAATGTTGTAAGATCATATTATAATTTACAAATTACATTTTGCAATTTACAATTACAAATTATGTTGCAAAATCTTTTAAAAATCCCTGTAATATTTGGCAGGAAGTTCAGTAGTTTAGCTATGTTTGTTTTGATCCTGTCTTCTGATACTATTTCATCTTTCCCCCCCCTTTTTTTTTTAATTTAAAGGCATCCTGAATAATCACCGATAATTATAATTTACCTATTCACCTGTGATTCATAAAGTGGCAAGTTAGAGCATGAAGTCTACATCACAGTAGAATTACATAATGCAGAATTTATAAATAAATTTTCCATTTATCTGGGCAATAATAACTTTCATTAGGCAAAAACGAAACAGCAAGAACTTCCTGTTGATTCACTGATTTTACTGAAGCTTTTGAAAGTCATCACTTCTAGGTAGATGTAAATTAAAATAGCAGTGATAGAAACACTCAGGAATAAAAATATTCTGAATATACACTTTGGACTGTTACATTTTTTCACAGTAATTACAAACAATGTTGTAGAATTTATTCAAAGGAAAGATGATGTTATAATGCTCAGTGATTGCATCAGAGTGATGTAATAATACCTCTGCCCAAAGAATCAGCCATTGTTATGGTTAAGTTCTGAGCAATAGCAGTAGTAACAGCAAGAAGGACAGGCTCTGTTTTTTTACTTAATGCATTCACTGCAGAGATGTATGTCAATAGACTAGGGGCCAGCAAACAAGCTGCAAAATGGTTCGGCATAAAAAGAACATTGTCCATGTAAAAAAATATAGTGGTGGCCAATCAAGGTCTGGTTCTCATTGGATGAAAAAGCAAATTTCAGTTATTATTATAATGTAAGTGCTGAAGTATTGTTAGTACTTCTGGTTAATGTGTACAAGTTCTGATACTTCTTCTGAAGATTCTTTTTGTTACTTTTAGTAGAATTTATATATATATATATGTGCATTTTGCAAACAGTAAGTAAAATTACTGGTAAAAAACATTTGATATTTTTATGTCTCAAAGTATAAATTTGCTTTATTTGGGCTATTTTAAAGAAATGTTTTCACAATCAGTGAGTAAAAGATGAACAATTAGCTGTATTTCACAGAATCCACAATATTGTGTATGTATACATATATATGCACATGCATGGAGATATAATGGAAATACTATATTTTATAATTCAAGTATAAATAGATGAATAAAAGTTGACCAAAGTTAGAAACTATGAAATGAGTTGAATATTGGATTCTAAGAATGTTTGTATGTGCAATACATAGCCTAATTTATTTCATTTCCTAGATAAAATTACCATCAAATTATATATCCGTCTAACCTTCCATTTATTCAGATGTATAGACCCATATATGAGCCCCGTCCCTGTAATTACAGAAGAATGGCAGTCATTAGTGAATTTATTCAAAGGTGATTTCTAGCAATGCGTATGTCATGAGTAATTTTCCCCAATATGAATCTTATCCTTCAAAAGGTCAGGGAAATGTAGAAAATAGACAGTTACAACATGTATGACTAGCCCGTGTTTCCTCTCCTTAGATGTTATTTCGGTTAGGCTTCTGAAAGAAACTAATTATTTTTGAGAAGGTGCTAAGGTTATGTGTTGAGGGAGCTGTAAGAGCTTGTACGTACAAAGGATTGTGCTTACAACGTAATTCTGTGTTGCCATTGCTTTCCTAGTTATTTAAGTAGGAACCAGAGACTCTGAATCTCTCTGTCTCCCATAGCACGTTGTTCAGTCACCTCTCATCGGAGACAGTGGTCTCATGAAAATTACTGGTTAAATAAACACTGTTTAAAATTCTGTTTGCTCTGCTCTGTCTTCATAAAGCAACTCCTGTGACTATCATTTGCAGACTGAATAGTCCTCCTATTTTGCAAATGAATGGTTAAAAAGGTTAGAGGAAGCTGCAGTGTGTCTTGCTAGCCTTATTTTGTACTCCAGCAGCTCATATCTGCGGAGCTCAGGACTTGGTCCCAAATTCAGATCTGCATCAGACTATAGCAAACTGATAAAGACCTCTGCTTCATGCTGCTGTGGTGATGTGGAATATCCCTGCTGCATGCTCTGAGGCAGCCTAATGCCCACGGTCCTTTTATTGCTGGAATAATTTCATCTAATTTGATTAACAGTTGGAGTAGTTACAAAAATATGTTTTAGGGATTATAAGGTTTATTTCTGATTTTACTACAGATACATCAAATGTCAAATACTCTTCAGAAATATAAATTTACTGGTGTCTCCAGGGATATTTAATAACAGTGTTAGACTAGTAGGGATTTAAGTGGACTATAACATAGTGTTTAATTTAGGGAATAAAATCAATTTATAGCCTTTGACCTATGGCCAGTCTCAGCCTTGGTTCAGTTTTGCAACATAATTTGCCCAAATCCTTTCCTCTATACAACTCCTGCTCCTCCAAAATAAATGACTGCCTTTTGGCCTGTGTCCCACTGTCAGAAAACCTCATAATTCTTGTCCATTCTGCTCCTCTTGCACTCTGTGTTAAAGAGCCTTCCTAGCCTGATAATTCTATGTCCCTAATAAATAGGCTGTTCTTTCAGTAAACAGGAGGGGGCATTTTATGAATTTTTTTTTTAAAACCCCAGTTGAAAAGTCTCACAAAATATGCCGCCAGCC